ATGTTCCTCAAATGATAAAAGGCGGTCTTTGTTATCTCTTTTACATGAGACTCGAAAGAGAGCACCATGTCAAACCACACGCCCAAGTTTTTTACCTTGTCCCTACAATTTATGACCCTGTTAGTGTTGGTGTAGGTGCAGCAGAAGTGGAGCCTGCACTTCATCCATGATGAGAGATTTCTTGCTTTCTGCGAGTCATAAAGATTAAAAAAAAAGAAGATTTTTCTGGATAAAAGCCAGAAGATAATGTCTGTCCTGCACCGCTGACTTTTGAATATTAGCAGAATTGAGCAAATGAAAATGTGGGAAAATGTGGGACACTGTCTCAGGATGTGGGACAGGCCTACCAGGCATACAAATCCTCTGCAGTCCCACATTAAGTCAAACACTGGACAACTATGTGGGACATTTCACAGAGTCTTCAATTTTTATCTTTCCAACTTGGAAGCTAAAGTTTGTTTTATAGCCTTATGTTATAGTTTTATGTCGTTCCTTTTCTTCTCTCACAACACCTGTAAAAAAGTCAAACTACCACATCAGCTTCTTTCCTGTTTGGTAATCATAGCATGGGTTTCAGGGAGCTTTGTGCGTTCACTCTGGTAAAGTGAACACAGGTTCACACTACAATCAGTCTTACAATAAATACTTTTCACACACAATATCATAGCACGCACAACAAAGCAGAAATTTAAAAGGACTGAAAAATTCAATTCAATTCAATTCAATTTTATTTATATAGCGCCAAATCACAACAAATGTCGCCTCAAGGAGTCAAGCAGTTGACCACACTGACGGCACCCTGTGAGATGATAAGCACCTTCGCTCTCCTAAATTCACAGTTTTTCAGTCTTAGAAATCTCGACAACCAACCCGGTGGTATAATTAAAAGCAAGATCCAAATGTAATCATGTTACAATATTAATGAAGCTGATTTATAATATTTACACACTCCAATCCTGGCTCACAAACCCAGTGCTGCTCTTTTTCTTCAGTCTCTGTCTCAAAGCAAAGCTTCGGTGGCTTGAATTATCCTCCATGTGGGCTTCGTGCATCCTGTCCAATCTCATAAATAAAATCTTGTTCCCAGTTTGCCCAGTTTGGGCAGCAGAGCATTTTTCCCCCCTCGTTTTCCGACAGCTTCCGAAATGCAACCGTTACCAGGGAAACAGATTGGAAGGACGGCCAGGCAGGATTGCCTTCAGCTGTAAATCTCTCACACCAGTTCCTGCCAACACCAGAGCCACCCAGCTCCACACACACACACACATATACATAATAAACAGAGCACACAGAGTCATTTCTGCTGCCAGTTTGTGCTGATCCTCTGAAAGCTGGTGCAACTGGCTCTCAGTGAGCATCGGGCTCTTAGTATAATTGGACAGAGAGGGAGCACTGTTGTTTGGGAGGCTGGCCGGCAGAAAGAAGGACGAGAACATGCAAATTTAACAGTTAAATACAGGATTAGCTGGCCAGCTCAGGGGATTTTGGAAGTCAGCCTCTGAATTTTACAGATTTTTTTTAATAAAACCGGAAAAATAAAACAGTGGTCCCTTAACAGTGAAGCATGATGCCGTCGAGTGGGAGGAAGAAGTGAAAAAGTCAGCTTTCTAAAATTAGTCAATATCCATTTAGCGCTTAGCGATACTACACAAGAAGATTTACATTCAGTTACCTTTATTGTCAGGGAGATAATTACAGAGCCCGAGTCTGCTGTGGTTTATTTAAAACTCTCTTGCTGACAAATTCACACACCGTGTATATTAATATCTGAGGACTACAAACAGCCTATTTGCCAGAAAAATTAATACAGAGCATTTAAACCCCGCTGGTGCATTTTCATTACGAGCCCATGTAAAACTATTATGCATTTCTTCCTACACGTACAAAGCATTGTTATCTGATGCAATTTTGTATTCGTGCTATCCTATATTATTGCTTCATTTTTGCCCAAAAAGCACACATAAGCTGTCTTCATTACAAAGTCAACACCATCCAACTGCTCCAAGCATTCACAAGAGTGTCACATGTGCATTAAACAGTTGTAGAAAATGGACACGTAAACTTGTACAGTTGTTAAAGATCCACCGATTTATATTTGGACGTTTGGCTCTGTTCACAGCACAGAACAGAGCAGGCATCACCAAAAACAGAGGTGAGCAACTCACCTGGACAGGGTAAAGCACCTCAAGCTAGCTAGCATCATAGGTTTGCATAGGTAATTCATTTTTAGGGTAGTGGGCAGAGATGGGCGGGTAACGCGTTACAAGTAACGTAAAGTAATCCCTTACTTTACTCGTTACCCGGTAGTCACGC